CCGAAGCCAGAGAGCGGTATGCTTCAGCCACTAAGTGGGGATGTGACACCACCATTGACTTCCACCCAGAGGTCTCCAAGACATCCGAAGCATGACTAGGAGAAATGTGGAGAGAGAGGTTACCAAAGGGAGTGTACACATGAACCAAACAGCTACCTAGATAGCCTTCTTTTTCAGTGTTTGGTGTAGGTGTTAATGCAACCAACACTACCCAGACAGAACCCTTAACATGCAGAAGAATGTGCTTGCTAGACAATGTGCAGACTGGTGACTGGGCCATGGCTCTTCTAATCCCCAAAACTTGGACTCAGAGGCACTGCATTCTCAAAACGTGGGCTGTTCATCACACTCAACATTGATGATATTTATATTCACAGATGCTAATCAAGAGAAAGAGCAAGGGCTTCCTTAGATATCCAGCTCTGAGCTCCCACGTGGTGTTGCCAAACTAGTCTTGTTAACCATAAGGCACATCATAGCCAGGGCCCATCTGATGGTCAGAAAAGAGATGGTAATAACCACTTTTTGCTCAATGGTTGAGTTACCTTCTAAAAAGTAACAAGCACATATCCAACATATAGTGAGCCCTGTACAGAACTGACGCTTACTGGTCCTTCCCTTTCTCTTCAGTCTCAGGCTAACACCTTAGAAACAACCATGTAACTAGGCCTAGAAGACATATTTCCCATATTTGGGTATTTTCTGTTTTAAAACTGTCCACTCATCTACCTGAACATCTTAGCCTTCTTAATTCCAAGGTGCTGTTGCTAGGACTTTTTTTTCCTCCAATCAGGTAAGGGAGTATAGAGTATGTCCCAATGAGAAGAAGGACTACAGATATAACTTGTCTTAGCTCCTTCAAAGTACTTTAGAAAGTGCTGTGGTGAGGTGACCTGTCACTTGGAGTGAAGTAACCGATCTGGTAGACTGTTTCCCTTTCCAAAATCGTCTTTGACAATCAGCTAATATCTATCTCTTCTCATTCCCTGAGCCCACCAGAGACTATAAAACATATTTGACTAACTCATAAAAAAATGAACCTCTATTCTCCTGGAATTGCTCTATCTTTTTTTTTTCCCCCAGTGAAATTACAGTGAGGTTGCTGTCATTTGGAGCACACAGCTTTTCCAGGCCAGCAAGTTATCACTACTCAGCTACACCGCTGTTTGGAAGTAAGGGGCTTCACTCATAACTAGAACCCGATCCCTGCAAACAAAACCATTTCACACTGTTGAGCTGAATAGAAAGATGAAAATTCTCTACTTACTACCAAAAGGTTAATGAAGCTACTCGCTCACTTTACTCACTAATTCAAAGTCTTTCTTATTTTGTTATCCCAATTATTCTCAGAGATGAACTTTGAAGATGCTACTCACTAGTTGATGAAATCCACTGCCTGAGTTTTCAGTTGATCTGCGCTGTGGAGGTCAGCCAGGATGAGAATTTCTGCAGCGTTCTCCACGGAGAGGTTACTGCAGAGGGCATCCTCGCACATGACCTTCAAACGCTCCAGGGCATACTGTAAAACAAGCAGAGCTGTCGTCAGAGCAGCAATCGCTCAGGGCTGACACTACTGAAGTTGTTCTCTTCAGGGGCACTGCTGTCCAGCTGGTATGGGAAGAGAATTGCAGAGCGCAGGAAAAGCCACCCCACAGTTAGAAACACAGCCGCTCAGAAGGTAGCTGTTTAAGCCTGAAACAAAGACAACCGAAGTAAGGGTGGCATCTATCAAATTCCAAGGTCTACCTGCTAGAAAATGGCAGTCAGAGCAGAGCCCACCCCAAAGCTCACAGTATCACCTGTCTTTCGTAAACAATCACTACCTACCCTGACAAGGAGGCATTAGCCAGCCAACATTATATTACAACTTCTGCAGTCTCACTACTTAGAGCCGACTGAATTAAAGCACAGCTCTTTTTGCTAAGCAGTGTCACTACCCTGGCAAGATTCTCCAAATGACCTATCAAGCTGCGAAAAGCCAGCTGTGGTGGCCTTCACCAGCATCTCTGCCATACATTGTTCCTGAGAGTGAACCAAGGGCTTCTCTGAAATAGGGAAAGAGAAATCAAATCCTATTTTACTGGGGTTGAGATTAAGATTCTCAGGGTAAAGGGACAAAGCAACAGAAACACTGGTTCCAGTTTCAGTTTCAAACTTCTATTTTCTAAATAGACACCACAAACATCTGGAAACGGAAGGTCTGACTAGGCTGATGCCACTCTGCTACTTGCCCTAATACAGCACGGACTTACTGAGGAATAAAGAAGGCATGAAGCAAAATGCCATTCATTACTTCACAGGGGAAGCATTTGCTATGAGGTTTTCCAGTCTCTCTACAGATCCTTCACCCTCAGGCCTCAGAATTCGGTGACGCAATGCCCCTCCAGGCTGAACCACAGCAATCAAACCAAGACAATTTTATTATGAATTTCAGGCAAGGAGGCATACCTGCTGGTACTGTGATCTCCTGCAGCAAAAAGGAGCTTTATTGGTTTTGGTGCTGCTTTAATTTCTTACATTTGAGTAACTGGAAAGCAGTTTCCATGGAAAAGGGAATGATAGGAGACAAGCAAGAAACCAGAGTGTGGGAAAGGCGAGTAGGTGCCCCGTCTTTCTACAGTGCTATTTCGACTGCTCCTCTTACCTGTCCTTACACATTCTTTTAAAAGGACTTCTGCTGTGAATAGCTCTGAGCCCGCCTGCATAATTAGACAAAAGTAGCCACTCTTGTCTCTTGGGGGACAAAGTTTTTTTTCTTAATTATGCTTCTGAAAACCCTGCCTAATGGCAGTACTTACTCAGGAGATTGAAATTGTGTCTCCCAGGCCTGGCCAGCGTGTTTTGTTTTGTTTTTGGTCTAATTACACATGTCCCCAGGAGATCGGAAAGGCTCAGAAGAAGCTGTTTCAGCCTCCAGGGTAAATTCTAGATGTTTAGATTCTTCCATGAAAGACCTTTTACTGTTTTCCTAAACTCATAGAGAGGTGTAAAGGTAAAACATGCTTTCAAATAGGCTTGACTCAAAGGCTGCCCAGTTGGAAATTCTGAATGGAATTTGAAAATGCACCATCAGCTATCCCCACCCCTCCCCCTTTTTCACTGAGACAGGGTTTCTCTGTGTAGCTCTGAATGTCCTGGAACTCACTCTGTAAACCAGGCTGGCCTTGAACTCAGAAATTTGCCTGCCTCTGCCTCCCGAGTGTTGGGATTAAAGGTGTGTGCCACCATTGCCCAGCAACTTCTCATTCATAAATTTATAGCATTATAGGAATTCAACTGCTTTCTATTTTAAAATCAGAAGGAAACATGCTTCATTGAAACCACCACTCACGTGGCAATTCAGGCTAATTTCCATGCCTCATGCCCCACCATTTTAGCTGAGAATGAAAACCGAGAGGCACAGAAGTTTTTAACTTTGGCTCTAAGGATGTATAACTTTGAGTTTCAGTGTTTCTGTCTAAAACGTGGGCTCATCATTCTCACAGGACCTCAAAGATAAGGTATATAAGCACAAGTAACCACTTCATTGGAAACCAGATCCAGGTCAGACAGAACCATAGCAACTCTATGAAAATGGGCTTGGGCTAGGCTTGGGTACACGTAGCTAAACCCAGTACTCAGGAACTAAGCAGGGTGACTGTGAGGTCAAAGCCAGCCAGGGCTATAGAGCAAATCCCTATTTCAAAATAAACAAAAGATGAGCACTGGACTGTGCTAATTTCACCCAGCTTAAAGACAATACTTTCTTACTATCTATTAAAACCAAGTTTCTCCTAGTCAGAAATGAGGTTGACTAGAAAGGTATAGAGTTTTCATGTTGCCAACTACTAATCAAGTCTGGAAAGGTGTTAACAAGAATAGTTACTATTCCAATCTTCATCAAAAGCAATGATTGGGTCTAATGCCTCACATTCAGCAATACTCCAAAGTGCTGATTATGGATAAACCTCTGCTGTAAGTCTAGGGATCCTCCTTTGTCCTCAGACACAAAAGGAGGTATAAGGAGACAATTCTTCAAAGCAAAACCTGGAAAGGCTCTGGTGCTCTTAGCTAGACCTACTTCTTCCTCAGAAAAGTACTGGGACTTGGACACAACAGGATGAGGTAGCATTCCCAGCAAGCATCTGCTTTCTCATGAGGTCTCGAGGAGGGAAGAGAGAAGAAAACAAAACTTGCAATGCACATTAAGAAGTTCTAGCTTCTGAGGACTCCTGCAGGAAAATGGTTCAGTAATCTCTCCTTTCTCTCTCCCTCCCTCCCCCCCCCCTCTCTCTCCAAGACAGGGTTTCTTTGTGTAGCCTTGCCTGCCTTGGAACTAGCTCTGTAGACCAGGCTGGTCTCAAACTCAAAGGAATCTTCCTCTGCAAAGGTGTGTGATACCACTGTCTGCTACTATTTTCTTTCTTTAAAATTATTTATTTGAAAAAAGAAGACAGGAAAAAAAAAAAGTCAGGCAGTGGTGGTACATGCCTTTAATCCCAGCACTTGGGAGGCAAAGGCAGGTGGATCTCTGTGGGTTCAAGGCTAGCCTGGTCTACAGAGTGAGTTCCAGGACATCCAGGGCAACACAGAGAAACCCTGTGTTGGTCAAAAAAATAGACCAAAACAAAAACAAAAACAAACCCCTCAAAACATTTATTTATTTATTTATTTATTTATTTATTTATTTATTTATTTATTTATTTATTTATTTAGTGTGTGGAGGGGCATGTGTGTGGAGGTCAGAGGACAACTTGTGTGTGGGCATCAGTTCCTACACCCTGTGGGTTCCAGGAATTGAACTCAGATCCTCAGACTTGGCAGCAAAGCACCCTTACCCACTCAACTACCCTTGAGCCTATAGGCCCAAGACTATAGTCTTTTTTATAAAGTTTGAATAAGTTAATGAAGTAAAAAATATCTTGAAAATTATAAAATACAACCCAAATGTTAGCATTACTTGAATGTTTACTCTTCTTTTTTTTGGTTTTTCGAGACAGGATTTCTCTGTGTAGCTTTGCGCCTTTCCTGGAACTTGCTTTGTAGACCAGGCTGGTCTCGAACTCACAGAGATCCGCCTGCCTCTGCCTCCCGAGTGCTGGGATTAAGGTGTGAGCCAAGACAGAGTAAGAAGAGGGGTGAATATCAAATATACCCTTCTGTTCCATAGTTAGGGTGACCCTGATAGTTTACCGTTCAGAGCACGACACCTGACAGCTTTAGTACCAAAAGGTTACTACTGTGTTGGAACAACAGGTATAAATGAGATGGCCCTGCCTAATTAAGCTGTATGTGTGCCCACTTCATCCATGACACAGCACACAAGCCCTATCACAAAACTAACACCTGGTCCTATGACTCTTTTCCTGTTCTCTCTTATCTTACCTTGTCAGCAGCTGCCAGCAAATCATCAGCCATTTTGTCAAGGTTCGGAGCCTTCCCCGTGTAAATGAAGCACATCATTTCCTTAAAAACTTCAGGTTCCACGTCATTAATTTCAACCCGATTCTATGCCAGAAAAGTTGAAAATGAGAAACATTCCAACAGAACACATTCCTAAACTATATCCATGGTTTTAAGTTCTGGCGAGGAAAGAAGCCTGTACACGGATAGGAAATACCTCTCACTATCCTCTCACAATTGGTTATTCTCGTAGCTCTTCCTCCCATCATTGTGTACTACACCGTTATTTTATTTTCTCAAACACGGTAGCAAAACAAAACAACTACGTGTGTGTGTGTGTGTGTGTGTGTGTGTGTGTGTGTGTGTGTGTGTGTGTGTGTGTGTTTTGTTTTCTTTTAAATCTCTAGGCTTTCTAGTATCTTTAACCCCAACTACTGAGATGACTGCTGAACAGTAAGTCCACGTCACCTGGGACATCCCCAGACCACCCATCTGCTCTCAGAAGGTGTCTGTTTAAGAAACTGTACTTTAATAACATGGCAAGAAAAAAATCATTACAAAAATAAATCTGCCAGACTGGGAAGGCCTGACTGTAGTCACCGGGTTACAAAGACGCGTGTCCATCCTGTTACACACCTTTTTGCTCTCCTCCATCTCGTGTTCAAACATGGCACTGAAAACTGGAGACCGAGCTACAAAGTGAGAGGGAAGTAAAGAGGTTATCACACGGGAACCGCTCCATCACTCCAGTAATTATGACGACCTTTGTTCTTCCTGTCCCACTTCCAAGGAAATGCTCTTGGTCTCAAATCACATTGGAATTATAAAACATATTCTTCTTCTTCTTCTTCTTCTTCTTCTTCTTCTTTTTTTTTTTTTTTGGAGACAGGGTTTCTGTGTAGCTTTGGAGCCTGTCCTGGAACTCACTCTGTAGACCAGGCTGGCCTATGATCTGCCTGCCTCTGCCTCCTGAGTGCTGGGATTAAAGGTGTGCACCACCACTGCCCAGCAAAACACGTTTTCAAAACATTTCTTTGGCTCTACTTTAATCATCCACATTTTAAGGAAATTATTAATCTGTGTTGGACAACAATGGTATATACAATGGTATATACTGTGTAGACTTTGAAGTTCAAATGGAAGGTATGCCATGGTCTAAGCAGGGTGTTCTAATAACTGGACTTTTGGCTGCAGCAATGAATGGCATCTCTAGAGAGACCACACAGGAAGAAGGTCAAGAGCCAGGTTCAATGGCATGCACTAGCTTGATGATGAACATTTCTGGCAAGTGTCTATTCCTCCAGCTATGTGTTCTCAGTGAAGTTGATATCATCCCCAAAAAACCTGCAAGATCCTTAGACAGTATAACAGTTTATGGCCCTTCAAAGTTCTTTTCTGTTTGGCAAAATTATCTTCCTTAACATTTATTTTCTTTCATCACAGAGAATTCAGTTTTTTTCTTTAGAAATGAGAATGAAGAAAAAAGGTCAAGAAACAGTGCTATGGTCCATGTACTTTCTATGAACACCCATGAAACACCACACATACACACAAAAAATAAGTAAACTAAATTTTAACCATGAGAAATAATACAAGAACTCAAATTTTTTCATGTTGCTGAATAAATCAAGAGTTGGGGTCAAAGTTGAAATTCCCAACCCTGTACCTAAGAGTAGAAGGACAGATGGTAGGTGAAAAAGGGGCAGAGACCTACAACGTTTAGACTGTAGTTCACATCAGAAAGAACTCATTTTACCTCTGCTATTTTCCAGGTAAAATTATTTAACCCTCTGAACCATTTACCCCTGCTTCTCCTGCATGCGTGCGTGCGTGCGTGCGTGTGTGCGTGTGTGTGTGTGTGTGTGTGTGTGTGTGTGTGTGTGTATAACTTAATGTATATAAAATTTAAATTTTCTTAAATTTAGAAATAAACCAGGCATAGTGGCGCACACTTGTAAGGCAGGAGAATTCTGAGTGTGAGGTCAGCCTGGGTTACATAGCAGAAATATCTCCCCACTTTTTAAGACTTTAAACGTGAACCTCAGTATTTTCATCGATTTCAGAAGGCTATTTTTTCCCAATGGTCTTATCTCAGAAGAGTTATAGACTATTTGGTGCTCATGGACTGGTGCTTAAATACAAAGAGAAGGTCCATAGCAGCAGGCGGGGCGACTGCAGCTGGTGCAATGGAGCAGAATTCCCAGCGAGAATAGAGGGACACTGCGGCAGACCCTTAGGGCTGGCAGACGTTTGAAGGAGCAGGTGAAGAGGGAGGGAGGGCACCAGGAGAAATAGCTTGGTGACGAAGTGTTTGCTGAGCACGTGTGGGGCCCAGGGCTTGCTATCCTGCCCCATAAAGAGGAAGAACAGGCAGTCAACGAACCAGGAGAGAACTGGAGCACAGAGTCAACTAGTATATGATCCGCAGCCTCTCAAACTTAGGAACTAGCAGGTAGTTCACGTAACTTTAGAAAATTGCTTTCCTGGCAAGGAGGTGAACTGAGGACAATGTGGGGAAAGGAAGCAGACAGCGAATATGCTACTTCAAGAAATTTAGCTCAGAGTATGTGGGGAGAAAGAGCACACAGACTGAGAAAACAAGGTTTCTAGGAAGGCAGGACAAGATTCAGAGAGCAGCAGTATACAAAACAATCCACTCTGAAGTTGAGGGATACCTCCTTGCCACTGAGAAGGCAGGTGAGAAAACAGCAGTCAAAGATGTTCCTACAAAAGGGCCTCTTGGAGGGAAATGTGGGCAAAAGCATCATTTAGGAGTTGGAGGAGGTTAGAGGGGGTATGGCAGAAGTCTGAAACATCTACTGTTGGGAAAAGAAGGAAGCTGACTGTACCTACAGAAAGATGCACTGGGGGTGGGGGTCAGTGGATAAAGTGCTTACTGTACAAAGCAGGAGGACCTCTGTTTCGATCTCTAGTGCCCACTTAAAAGCCAGGCATACATCTTTAACTCCAGCATTGGGTGAGGACATGGGAGGGATGTCCAGTAAAAGTGGTGAGCTCATGCCACTGAGAGACCACAACTTCAAAAGTAAGATAGAAAGTAACAAAAGAAGACATTCAACTTCTGGTCTCTGCACATATACACACAGTAATGTACTTGCACACACATGAAAAAACATGCTTGTACCACATACACAAGCAAGAAACAAACATTAAAAGAGAAAAAGAGGTGGGGGGGGAGGAAGGAGGGGAAAAGAAAGAAGCATGTTGAGGGCCTCACTATACAGGCAGACACTAGTCTGAATTGCTCACTTCAACATTGACAATAATACCGAGGTGAAGCAGAGAATGGGAAGTTGTCCCATGAGACAGCTTGAGCTCATTTCAAGTGTGAACCTTGGAATGACAGAGCTCAGACATCTCAACAGAGGAGTCTTGGGAAGAAGTATGTTACTTGGAGAGTCACACAATACTCTCACATGTTCTGTGCTCTGCAGAGCAGTATGTAGCTATGACCCCCCTTTTCTATAAGGATGAAGTCAGCCCTCTCTCAGTTCCTCCTCTGGTGAGTCTTTCTTGTCTTAAAGATCAAGGAACTGAGAGAACAAGACTTGATCCTCTGGGTCAGTAGCAATAGTCTCATTCTTCTTATATGTTTACAGTGAAGATACAACTTAAGTATCTGAGGCTGAGGTCTCAGCTTGATAAATACTTAGTCCCTTGACCAGAATCCTCTCCATTGCATTCAAAGCCCAACTAGGAGCTACCTGCTCTTAGGTACTCTGGGAGCTATTTTCCAAGTGCAAAGATATGGAATAGTTTTGTATAACCATCATTTATACTTTGAAAACGGTAGCCTAAGAGTCCACTCTAGAGACAAACCAGAAATGCTATTTTTATGGAAAGTAGCCTTTTTGGTTATGAGAACTCTCTTTAGAATATAAAAATACGGTCCAGTTATGGAGGCATATGCCTATTATTCCAGCACTGGGAGTGAGGGTAAGGTTAGGACTGAAAGTTTGAGGACAGTCTGGGCTAACCTAGCAAGTTCCAGGTCAGCCTAAGCTACAAAGTAAGACCCTGTCTCAAAACACCAAAATGAAAATAAATTTTAAAAATGTATTTAGGGGCAGAGTTCAAAAGTTGAAGTTGTCCAAAGACAATTTTGCAGCCACAATTTTTCCTATTGCATCAAAATTATAACGTGAACCATGAATAAATACCAACCTGCTAAGATGGCCTTGTGAGCCTGGAATTCTTGGCCAGCCACACACAGGCAGCAGTCTGTGAATCGAGAATTCTCCCACAGCCCTCCTAATTCATCTGCCAGCCGGCACTCAGGAACCTTTACCATGTTCATGGTATTCTGCCCAGAAATATTGACGGAATCTTGTACTACACTCACCTGTGAAATATAAGGAGACAGAAACAAAGCTTTCGTTACCAGCAGGTGGAGAGAGGCCTGCTGCCACAGTGCTCCAGAAGATTTAGGTAACATATTTTCTTGAAACCACCCCCACTAATCAAGACCTTCTCCTTTGGATCAATTTCCCCATTTATTATAATCACACTTCTTTTAGACCACACTGTAGGACAATGACCGCCTCATAGAGCACGTTCTTCTCCAGTTTCTAGTAAGTTCCATCTCCTTGGAAACCCAAGCACAGCTACCAAGGAGAAACCGTCAGGGACAAATGCTTAATTTCAAGTATTCCCCTTAAGAGCTACTATAGAGGTCACTGTCTTAGTTAGGGTTTTATTGCTGTGAAGAACACCATGACCACAGTAACTCTTATAAAGGAAAATATTGAATTGCGGTCAGAGGTTCAGTCCATTATCATCATGATGGGACATGGTAGTGTGCAGGTAGACATGGTGCTGGAGAAGAAGCTGAGAGCCCTACATCTTGTAGGCAACAGGAAGTGGTCTGTCTCACTGGGTGTGGCTTGAGTATATATGAGACCTCAAAGCTCACCTCCACAGTGACACACTTCTTCCAACAAGACCATACCTACTCCAACAAGGCCATATCGCCTGATAGTGGCACTTCCTTTGGAGGCCTTTTTTTTTCCCCCCCCAAACTATCAGTCACCATATAAAACTCTCTAAAGAAATTCAGTAAGTTAAGCCCAAAAGCATTTCATTTATTTTAGTTAGGTCAGGAAACACAGATAAAGTGTAGTTTCTATAGCTACAGGGCTTGGTAAGTAACTGGCATTTCTCAGAGACGGTTGATTAATGAACATGATGGCTCACTAACCATAAGGATTGAAGTAGGAAGGCCTTTTAGTAGGGATAACTAGGTGGGTACAGCGTAAGTTTTACACCTGAATTCAGTCATCTGTGACAATGACATTCAAGATGGCTGACTGCAGCTTACATGTACACTTGCTTATACCCCTGGAACAGAATGACAATGAATCCTATGGAAGGCTCCAACTTCCCACTCTGGCTTCAGTAGCATGTTTCAACTAGTTGAAATTCAACCTAGATAGAAACCAACCTAAATTTTTAGATGGGTTAGTGAAAGTCAGCTGTTAGGATACCAAGTATAAGGATTTACAAATCACATTAACATAAAATATGCTAGCTGTTAAACAAAAAATAAGATCCTGCAAAGCAGTCACGCACTCAACAACTACTGTGTTTTATTTCCTACAGCACATCATGTTAAGAAAATTGTTTAAGCAGAACTCAAACCTTGAGAATTAACTCCCTGCTCTCCTACTGCTAAGAGTATGATGAGAAAGACAGTTTAAGAACATCCTTGATGACCCAGATTTCTTTTGACCTTCAAGATGCAAGTCATCCTTTAGCTGCAGTCATAAACCCAGAGGCAAAGTTACTGCTTGACCTATAATCTCTTTTGTGTAAGACTGAGGTATTTACTACTAGGTCAAGAAACTTATTCATTTGTTTAAAACTGTTATGATCTTACACAAGGAGGTAGTCAAGTTAATCAATTATGAATGTGCTCAGCATTAGAGCACATTTATCAGGGACAGATTATAACAATATTTTAATAACCCAAGACCCAGCACAAACCACCCCACAGAGATCCTCTCTTGTTCTTTGTAAGATTTCTAATTTGGTTCAACCATTTTCTCTTATTAGCATCCTCACTTCTTTGATATAATATTAAAACACTAAAAGTGAAAGTTTTCTGTTACCAGTTATAGTTCTAAATACTGATTTAGGGGGGGAAAAAAAAGGAAAAGACCAATTAAATCCAACTTCCTCACAGGGAAAGGCAGGAATCTCCAGGGATGGCCAATGTAGAGAATGGAGAAAGCTTCTGGCACTATGTTTCTAGTTTGAATTAAACCAGGCTGACAGGAGCCCAAAATCATTAACACTTAATAGCAATTGAGTAGACTGGGTAAAATGAATTGGCAAACACTAAGCTGAATTTCAAATGAACTATGGTTACCAGTGGACTTTCTGCTGGCTAGATACATGCTTGGTAATGAGTGGGGCCCAAAGGCTGCAACACCTCTCAGTAGGATGATTCTTCTCTCTGGACACAGACAGGAACACAGCAGGAAGGAGAATGTACCTTTACTGCCTGAGCCAGGCTTGTTCTGTAGATATATGGATGCCTGGAATCTCCAGAGCCCTGAATGTCTGGCACCTCTTACCAACATTAAATACGTTTAATTAAAAATAAATTTTAAATGGCACTCAGAAATGAGTCCTCAGAGCCCAAACTTTTAACTTAGAGAGGGATTGTTTTCCTCTGCAAATGATGATGCTAAAATGAGACCATTTTGAGAAAAATGAAAAGATATTTTTTTTATGCCTATAAAGTTGACTATGGAGACTCATTCAGAACTGCAGCTGTGAAGATGACGTGACTGTGACATTTCTGTCGTCTTATAAATGAATGCATGAAAATGTCTCAGGAAGGCTGTATAATCTCCAAAGTTTCAAGTTATGGGAGGGTCTCACTTTTAAAGTCAACTTCTCCTCTCTCTCTCTCTCTCTCTCTCTCTCTCTCTCTCTCTCTCTCTCTCTTTCTTGGTTTTGTTTTTTGAGACAGGGTTTCTCTGTGTAGTCCTGGCTGTCCTGGAACTTACTCTATAGACCAGGCTGGCCTCAAACTCAGAGATCCACCTGCCTCTGCCTCCTAAGTGTGGGATTAAAGGTGCTGCCTGACTTCAACTTCTCTTTCTTAAAAAAAGAAATTACAAGATTAAAAAAAAAAATTTAAAAAGGAAATTTCATGAATGACTAAGGACTATCAAGTCTTGTATATTCATCCACGTAAAATGGAAATCCACGGAAACATTCAGTACCTATGGAAGACTAAGGACTGTCAAATCTTGTATATTCATCTCCATAAAAGGAAAGAAAAATCAATGAAAATCACTTTAGTGTCTATACAATTAAAAACTGAAAAAATAAGGAAACACCATACACTGGTTAAAGTGTAGCACATCATTCACAGCAAAACACTAGCAGCAACCTGAATGTCAGCCAGTAAGAGAACAAACCATACAACCATAAAACAGACTTCCCCTGCACTGAAAATTAACTGTGGTTACATATAAAGTATACATCTTATAAACAATGTTTTAAAAAAAGCAGGTCCTAAAGATGACATTAAATCTCATATCAGTTTTATAAAGCCCAAAACCAAGTAAATCTTAAGACGGTATTGTTCAGGCACATAAACGATAGGGAATAATATAAAAAAAAAGGGAAGTAATTGCCTCATTCTTTGGTTCAGGGACAAGTATTCAGTATAAGGGAACAGCACACACAGGCTAGTTTCTAGTTACTGAGATCTTAGTGTGGGTGGTGGGTTTACTACATCAACATGTTTTATAACGTACAAAGATGCTACATATTAAGCTAACATCTTTGGAGGTCAAGAACAATCAAATATTGGTTGTTTTCATACAGTGCAACTAATGCACACCAACAATTCACTAATAAAAAGTAAAAAATGAAGACATATTTATTTAAAACTGGGCAAAAATACATAGTCTCAGGTAACCAAAGGAATAGTCTATGCATGAGAATGAAAAGGATATTTTAAAAGCATAAGCTAATGTCTGAATATTTTATAAGTGGTATTTCATATGGTGTTTCCTATTTCTTTCTTTTTTTTGGGTTTTTCGAGACCGGGGTTCTCTGTGTAGCTTTGCGCCTTTCCTGGATCTCGCTCTGTAGACCAGGCTGGCCTCGAATTCACAGAGATCTGCCTGGCTCTGCCTCCCGAGTGCTGGGATTAAAGGCGTGAGCCACCACCGCCCAGCTTGGTGTTTCCTATTTCATCTTAACTGACGCCTTACAAAGAGTACTCTTCTACCTGCATAGGCAAAGAAGGGGAATACATGCACCTTCACTGCAAAAGGATATGGAAAGGGTTAACAGAAGCTGAAAATTTTCACAAAGATTTTCTATGGCCCAAATTATTAAGGAGAAAATTAAAAATATAATTTAAACATGCTTTTTATGTCCTCCCTTTCATTAGCAAAGTAAATACTCTCTATTAAGAAAACTTGGGAGAGCCCTTGCTCTCTTGGGTGAATGGCATTCAGCTCCACTTAGTATAGCACAGCAGACAAGAAGTGGGAAATGGAGAGCTGACATGGCCTTGACATTAATTTGCTGTACAATGTTAGGAAAAATTACCTGACCTCCCGAGGCACTGCTTCTCTCATGTAACAAGAAATGAAGAAAACAGAACTAACCTAGCTCAAAGGATTGTGATAAGGGATGATTCAAGAAAGTCTTAAAAAACATTTAAGTATCTTAATTAAGCAAATTCAACTTGGAAGAATCACCATATTTCCTAATAGACAAATCTCCCCGAGAACTGAAAGTGAACCCCATGTGGGTGGCACATTACATACAAGACCACCCACCTGGTACTTTCAGTTGACAATCTAATCTCCAACATTCAGGAGCCATGATACCACTGAAATAAAGGCCAAACAGGCACAAGCGTTGTTCTCAGTCTTTCCCTTTCCGACTCCCCGTGACTCTGGGTCACCAAGCATCTCTGAAGCAGTTGCATTCAGTGTACATTAGGATAGCAAAGAAGTATCTGGGCACAGACTGAGGGCGCAGTGCAGCAAAGCAGTGGGTGCTTGTAACTAAATTTCCATGTGGTTATCCTTTCATAAAATTTCTAAATAATAGAAAATAAGGAAAACTATAGAACATAAAATATAAGCAGGAATTAAGATAAACTTGTTTATAAATATTCCACTGATACAAGGGAAACAGGTCAAAGGAAGAGGACTTACATGGAAAATGGTCTAGCTGTGAAAAGTGCTAAGAACTTGGATGAATTGCAGACATTTTAAAAACCCACACATCCAATACACACCCCCACGCAACCGTCTTGCAGTGTTGAATGCTACTAAGTCCACAGAGAGCCTTGGAACAGGAACGAGTCTCACTAGGCACAGGACCAAGTACGAGAAGCAACACTCAGCACCTGTGGCCAACTGGGAAGTGTGAGAGGAACAGATGGCACACCTGGTTCCATGGCGAGAAACCTCGGCATCAGCAGAACCCAGCAGACGCTTCCCCGTGCAACATCTCCCATTTCCAACGTGTCATCTCACTTCCCTTCTAAGTCAGTAAGGCAAATCTAAACTTAACCACAGGATTTCTCCTAGGAGATTTCATATGGGGAAGTGAAGAGAGAATGCTGGAACTCAGCCTCAGACCTAACCAAGGGAGGGCAGGCCAACCAGTTTCCAAATCACAGACCACAATCCAGGGGTCGGAGCAGCTGGAACAGTATGGGGAAAGAGGAAGAAACACACCAGAAAAGGATGGACCCATTGTAGACTTGAAAATGCTACAACACGAGTCAAGGTAACACCTAAAATGCCAGAGGTAATATTTGGAGAAGATTCTCTTCAGGGAGAAGCTTGAAGACTGGCTTTCATTTCCAACAAAATTAGAATTTCCCACTATCTTAAAGTTGTTTTTTTTTTTTTCTTGAAATGTAAGTCTTCAGCATTCCGGGGGTTAAGCAGGATGATAGGGGTGAGCCTGAGGCCAGCCTGGGCTACAGAAAGACCTGCTTTTAAAAAACCAAAGGGGCAGGGGAACAACCCACAAATCCCTAGGATAGGCAACAGGCAAAGATGGAAACTGATGGTGTTTATGTAACAGCTAACCCCAAACAAAGCCATATAGTTAATTCTCATTGTTCTACTCAGGCAAGCGAGTGTGACCTGCAACTAGCAGGACTCACATGAAATCCACATTTCAAGTTCATTAAACATAAAACTGACACATTGCACATATTTATACAGATGCCGATACTGTATCATTTCGTTCAGTTACTCTGCAATTAAAATGGAGAGGGAATGGCTATTATGCAAATTAAATTTTACCTTTTCAGTGTACAAAGTTTTCTAATCATTAGCAATTATTTGTTCTAATCCACAAGCCTGCTACTGCTGGCCATGCTTTTTTCACAAAAGGGCAAGAGTCCTAAGAACAAGTTCTTGGACTACACAGGTGTGATATGCCTTTGGAACAGTCATTAACTCATAATACAAACCTATTATTTGATGAGCTAGCTGGCAACTGGTATGCTTGCCTGCACTTTGCCTCATGAAAGTACAAAATTATTTGCTTCACTCTCAGGAAGAAGTTCCCTGACTGAGATACAGGGACAATAATACTCCAGTTTACCAGATACAACTTTTGTTTCTTACATTTCTAAATGTATGGAAAATGGCATGAAATGATTCATTACAATATACAGTACCCATTTTAATAAGCCCCTTTCAATTGGATCTTGGGTCAAGGAATTTTTCTAAGCTTCTCCAAAGGCTCTTAGGTCTTTGGTAAGAGACACTGACTCTTCAATCTGATGACAGCTGACTCTCCCACTCTAAGCTACAAGTTCTCACAGCTTTCACCTTAGAAAAAGTGGCCCTTCACTTTCCTATTTCATGATCCCAGCAAGACAAACCATGAACACTCAACTCCTGCAAGGAGCCACCTTGTCCAAAGAGCAGAAAAGGAGAGCAACCCAGTCAACACATGCCAATCAAGAAGGAATCAGGGAGTTTAAGCGACAGATACACAAACTTCGTTGCAGTTGCTGGCCACTGCTCAGCTTCAAGTGTTAGCCCTTCCAAATACTATTTGAAAAAAACCCACAAAAAAAAAAAAAAGTGAGGATCTTGACTCAAGCAACTCAAAACTGACAGATACAATCTTTGTTCTTATGAACAGTAACAAGTAGAGAGCCCAGGTGCCCAACAACCTTGAAATCATAAGGCAGTTCAATCAGTCACATAAATAACATTTGTACAGAACTACTCCCCTTGGGGATTTTTCTCATTTCACATCCTTGACACAATACAATTAAGTCTACCAATACACATCAGGTCAGGGAATTGCCAGTCTCAAAGCAGGGCAAAAGGACTCACCTCACAGAAGAGGGTGAGCTTGTCATCAGGGAGAAGCCCATTGGCCTCATCCAAGAGAAAATCTCTACGAATAAATTTTTTGAATCCCCAGTCTTTGCCTTGCACGAACCTATAAGCTCGCTGACTCTCTGGAATGAAAAAGAGTGTCATATTCAGAGTTACTCAAAGACAAGCTCAAATCCACAACTTATCAGTGTATGAAGTTACTGGATGTGAAAGTAGAGAAATGTCGTTTACCCATAGCTTTGGTTTCTTCTCCCTTGGCATTCAGGATGGAGAACTTGAACTTTGCCCGAACTTCACTCTTTGGACAACTGACCAATAACAGGTAAAGTGACAGGTAATCTTTGCTTTCTTCATCCAGCCCTTTTGGGTTTACTCGCAAACACCTGCCCAACACAGAAACAAATGTGGATCAAAAGAATCCTTATAGTTCCTGAACTCTAGTATGGAACATCAGAATCCAGAGGGGAAGAAGTGTTTCTGTTGCTGTTGTTGTTAGGTTTGTTTTTAAACACCTAAGCTCCTTACCAGGAGGCTGATTCAACAGAAACTTGAAAATAATCTTTCTACACCAATTTGGATCATATTTTAAAAGATAGACGAAAATAAAAGGGTATTCACATCCCTTACATCTCTATCATTTCCTTTATAATTGTCAAATCATTCACCTATCTCAGCCTAAAACATTCAAAAGTTTTTCAGACTACTCTGTTTTTCATTCTTCAATCTCAGAAAAGATAGCCTCAGTTTCTCATGGAGAAATAATTTTGTAAAAAGTCAGAGAACCTTTCAGTAACACTGTGGGAGAAAAATGTTTTCTGGAGAAGTATTCACATAGTATGTACTCTTTTTTGTTTGTTTGCTTTTCTAAACAGGATTTCTCTGTGTTAACAGCCCTGGCTATCCTGGAACTATGCAGACCAGGTTGGTCTTGAACTCACAGAGATCCGCCTGCTTTTGCCTCCAAGTGCTAGGATAAAGGCATGTGTCACCACATTTGGCTAATAGATACTCTTTTATAGGTGTGTGTGTGTGTGTGTGTGATATGCCTGTGGAGGTCAAAGACATGGGACCCCTCTGGAGCTGGAATTGGGCGGTTCTGGGTCATCCAATGTGTGTGTGTGCTGGGAACCAAATTCAGATCCTCTGCAAGAGCAGCAAGTATTCTTACCTGCTGAGCCCTTTCTCTAGCCTCCAGCAATTATATTTTAAGATTTAAAATAACAGGTATTGTGGAAGAAGCACAGATAAAAGTAAAACTCTTATTAGACACAGGAATGTTCTAAGCTTGGCTTCTAAATAAGAGTTTGAGATGCCAATCTGTTAAGGATGATTCAAAACTGAATTTAGGCAGAACTTAACAGGTTCAACTGAGTTAAGTTGTAAATGTCATTAGTTGAAACGCATGTATTTCAGACACTGCTCTACCACACAGAATACACAAGCCACATGTATCTTCAGGCCTTGCCAGGGTTATGTCACCTTTCTCAAACAGGTGGTCTAATCCAGTGCCTCTTTAGGGAGTACAGATGCCAAATATATCACTATACAATATGCTAGAGGGGTTAAATATAATGCTTAGAATAAACATTTTGCTCAGTACCTAGCCTACCGTTTAATGTACAAAGTCAGCAAATATTGAATTAATAAATTCTTCAGTGGGTTATCAGAGAACAAAGTGGGGATTTAGAGACAAAATTGCTTTGATCTTTGCTGGGGACATACGGTTGTATCCCTAACTACCTGGCTCCTACTCCTCAAGATGATACTTGGTTTTGATGACACTCATCCTCACTCTCAGGTCATAGTCATCTTGCAATAGGCACTAGTTCAGGGATTCCAGCCTTAATCCATTCTGTGCATGAACGACAAACTCTTGACTAGACAGTAAATTCAGCTTCAATTCCATTGTTACTTCAAGCATAGGAAAGCTACACTTAAGATGTGTCATAGCATGGAACATGAGCAGAGAAATGAGGTCTGCAATGGAATATGCCTCCTAGATGACAGTTATCTCTACCCTCCCAGTTATAAAGCCAAACAAATATCCTTTATTGCTTAAAAGTAAGCTATTATTGTTAAAGACAGGACTTTATGTGGTCCAGGCTGGCCTCAAATTCCCTATATAGTAAGGATGACCTTGAACCATTGCCCTGCTCTCCTCTTTGAGAAAGACTTACTATGTAACCCTGTCTAGCCTGGAATTTGTTACGTAGACCAGGTTGGCCTTGAATTCAGAGATCCACCTGCCTCTGCCTCCTGAGTGTGGGGATGAAAGGTATGTGCTAGCATACCCAGCCTAACCTTGAACTCTTGTGAGAGGTAAGTGAACTTCAACCTGAGTGTGTGTGTGTGTGTGGGGGGGGGGCGGTTCAGGTATCCACGACCATGCCCAGTTTATGAGTTCTGGAGACGGGATCTAAGTCTTCAAGCATGTGCAGGCAATTTAAAAGTCAAGACCTTAGCCCAGTGGTGGCGCACACCTTTAATCCCCAGCACTCAGGAGGCAGAGGCAGGAGGATCTCTGTGAGTTCAAGGCCAGCCTAGGCTACAGAGTGAGTTCCAGAAAAGGCACCAAAGCTACACAGAGAAACTCTGTCTCAAAAAAAAAAAAAAAAAACAAAAACAGGGCTGGAGCGATGGCTCAGAGGTTAAGAGCACTGGCTGTTCTTCCAGGAGTCCTGAGTTCAATTCCCAGCAACCACATGGTGGCTCACAGCCATCTAAAATTCGATCTGGTACCCTCTTCTGGCATGTAGGCAGAATACTGTATACATAGTAAATAAATAAATCTTTTAAAAAAATTCGTGTTTGATTTTTTAAAAAACAAAAACAAAAACAAACAAAAAGTCAAGATTTTTATGTTACAAACTTAGATTTGTTGCTGCATGTGATGGTGCACACTTTTAATCTCAGCACTCAAGAGGCAGAGGCAGGTGAATCTTTGTGAGTTCAAGGTCAGCCAACTCTACTTAGTGAGACCATATCTCCAAACAAACAAAAAGAAACCCACAAAAGTTAGACTTTGTCGCTTTTTCTGGAAAACACAGAAAAATCCTGGAAATCCTGATGATAGTCGGCTCTTCTCCACACATAGCTCTGTTACTGAGCCGTGTGGCACCAAGTCCTTCATATACTTACTGTAGTGCCAAGAACTAACCCTAGAACCTCACACATGCTGGGTGAGCACTCTGCTGCTGAACTACACCCCCAGCCTTCTAACAATCCTTTATGAAAGGTAAATTACAATTTTTAATTTCTTGTGTGGGTCTTTATGTGGGTCCATGAGCGCCTTGGTTCTAGTGTGGACAACTTGAAGAAATCATTTCTTTTCCTTCCACCATGTGGGCCCCAGGGATCAAACTCAGGTCTTCTGGTAACCCGGCCTTCTTTATTCACTTATGTTACCCTATACAACCTGAATTTGCTAACTTGTAACAAACTCATTAAATTATTTCAACCACTTGTTAGTAGGTGCCTACTGTGTCTGGCCCTATTCTAGGCAATGATGATAAGAAAAGTGAAGTTCCTGCTTTTAAGAATTTACATTCTGCCCATATCCTAATCAAACCAAGCAAAACAGGCAACGTATGGAATAAGTTTACAACTAGAGGTGTTCTTCCTCACCATTTCAGTTTATCATTGGCTCCTGATGAAAAAGTTGAACTTTTTATGACTTCACCCATTTCCTCCCGGCAAAAACTAAAGTTATTGATGGTCCACATGTAGGAGAATTTCACTACCTTGATCTGTTGATAGAAAATTAGGAAGGAATTAAATGTGGGGAACCTGGAAAAAACAGGCTGAAGATCAGACAAGCACCCCTCCCTTAACCCCACAGGAAGACAGCAGTTATCAGGCCCCTGATCTACATTAGAGAAATCTCAGTGACCTACTGCTTCTACAACGTTTTCAACTTCTGAAAACATTGGCAGGAAGTAAGAAAGAAAAACACAGTCAAGGAAGCAACAGCAACAATAACAACAAAACATGGACAGGATAGGGAAAGTCTGAAACTTTGTGGTCCTAAAAGAGCCTGTTATTGAGATGCTGATGTCATTCCTGGGACTCTGAATCTCAAACATTGCTCAGAGCTTTAGAACACACCCCTATCAAGTAGGATTGAAATAATCTCGACAAAATCTCTGTGAGTTCGATGCCAGCCTGGTCTATAAATCAAGTTCCAGGACAGCCAGAGCTGTTACACAGAGAAACCCTGTCTCAAAAACAAAACAAAAAAAATCTAGCCAAAGATTCCCCTTCAATCATCATAGAAAAGCACTAGCCTTGGGAATTCTGACTCTATGTAAGAAAAACAAGAATTTAAGGCTAACAAGGACTTTATCTTGTGGCTTTTGGCAGTTATGCCCCAGAGAAACTAGTAACTCAAAGTTGAGAAGTGATTGTGTTGCTTCTGCCCACTAGTGAAAACATGAACTTACCTGTGTATAGCACCAGCTCTCTGCCACGGGACCACTCGACATTTCTGCCGGAGGTGGAGGACTTGGAACCCTTGACATCGCCAGTTTGAAGGTTAAACTGGGTTTCCAAAGTCAGGGGGCAAAGATTTCTGGCTTTTCTTCACCCTGGTAAGACCCAAGAATTAAAAAACTTATTAGACTCCTTTTAATTGATTATTTTTAATGTTAATCTCAATTTTTATTATTCTTCTCTCATATAACACATCCTGACCTCAGTTTCCTCTCTCTACTCCTCTCAGGTCCTCCACCCTTTTCCTACTATCCTATTATTCCATTGATCTTCTAAGGTACTGGAAACTTTGTGGCTTGTCTGAAATGTTCTTTCTTGATTTAAATATTAACTTCAGAGAAGACCATGTAGTCTCCTAGGCAAAATTACATTATTGTCTATGCATGGTGGCTTACACCTCTAATCTCAGCACTCAAGAGGCAGAGGCAGGTGGATCTCTGTGAATTACAGACCTGTATATCAAGTTTCAGGCCAGCCAGGGCTACAGGAGACCCTGTCTCAAATAAATGAAGTGAACCGAATAAATAAATAAAATCCCATTACTCTTCTGCACAATTCTCAACATTATGTTTAAAATCTGCTGGGCAGGGTGTCACATGCAACTTTCATCCCAACACTCTAGAAACAGGGGCTGGCGGATCTCTTGAATTTGAGGCCAACCTAGTCTATACAGCCAGTATCAAGCCAACAAGCCCTGCATAGTGAAACAAAACAACAGAAGCAGAGAAACATAATCTAAAGGTATATTAAAGCACACTGAAAAGGCTGCTTGATAAAGAGTCTACAGGGCTAACACTAGGAACCCCCTTGCCACCAGAACCTTCCCTTAGGACACAAATGCTCTGCTCCAGTGGAAAATGACCTTGGTACTCTACCCTCCAATTTTCCTGATCGCCTGTGCTTCACTGCAGACTTAAGAGCAGCCTTCTGTTCGACTCCTCTGCCAGCTGCTCTCTTAAAGGGCACCATTTTTACACCTCCCTTAGATGTGCTCCTTTCTCTACAACATCATGTCAAGTTTTCACCTGACTTTCTAGATTTTTCTTGCTTTCTCTACTAATTGTTCTTCAACCTCAATTTCTCTTTCTTTCTTTTTAGACAGGGTCTCTCTATTATGTAGCTCTGGCTGGCCTGGAACTCACTATGTAGATCAGACTACCTGGAACTCAGAGATCTACCTGCCTTCTGCCTCCTGGGTACTGGTATTAAAGGTGTGTGCCACCAATTGGACCTTCCTCAATTTCTTTTATTGGATTTTTTTTTTTTTTTTACAATTACTCCCCATGGTTTAATTTTCAATCATTTTCTCAATTTACATTCTCATGGCAACCAATCATTTCAACAGTATCAAATTTCTGCCAGCACATAAACATTCTCAAATGTCTTTAACTTACACCTCTTTTATAGCCCCAAGCCCCTTTCAAATAGCTGCTATAATAAAATCTAACTCAAAATCATTTTTAAAAACTTAGGTCATGGACCAGTGTGACAGCTCAGCAGATAAAGGTGCTTGCCACCAAGCCTGCTGACCTGAGGTGAAGTCCTGGAATCCACAGGGTAGAAGGAAATAACCAAGTCCTACAAACTGTCCTTGTACTACATGTATGCCATGGTACATGCATGACACAGCCACAGAATAAAAAATATAATAAAATTATTAAAAACGTAAGGTCAGGTGTACTAGTATATGCCTGTATCCCAGTACTTGAAATTCAGAAGCAGCAGATCTCTGTGAGTCCAAGACTAGCTTGGTCTACACATAGAGAGTTCTAGACCAGCCAGAACTAAGACCCTGTTTCTCAAAAACCAAACCAAAACAAAACAAAACAAAAAAACAACAATCAAGAGTAAGTCAAAGGAAGCAAAGTTGCAGAGATATGGGGTAGACATAGAAACTCTTTCCCATTGTTGGTGAGACACTAAAACAAAAAGTGTAACTGTGTATGTAGGAATTTGGTCATATCTAGCAAAGTTTAAAGTGCACACACCACAGAACACAGCACTCCTACTTTGAACACAATGCACACCACAACAGGAATTGCCAAGTTTGGAAGGCACAAAATTACCTCGTATGAATGCTGATCTACCCCCACGCTTCTGATTCAGCAGTCTGGGATGGGCCCAAGAGTATATTTCTAGCAAGGTCCCAAGTAATCCTGCTGAACTAGTCCTGGAACCACTGCCCTAGAGAAAGTCTGCACTTATGAACAAGACATGGACTAGAGAGTCAATGTGACACTGTAACAGTGAAAAGCTAGAAACAAACTAAAACCCTTTAGTAAGGAACAGGTAAGTAAACTGGGTTATTTCCATATAATGGAAAATGAGCTTTATGGTTTAAAATAGTAACTAGATCTGTAACACTGTGGTCCTCAAACACAATGAATGCCAAAGAAAAGAAGGAGTTTTTGAAAGATAAGTCCAGAACATTACTTCTACAAATATAAGTACTGGTACAGATAAAAGCATACTGTAGGAACAAAACAAGAATAACAAAAACATGGCAAGTTGTTACCAGTTTCATGGGGAAATGAGATTTGAAAATAGAAGACACTAACTTTGTCTCTTACGTTTTGGTTCTCAAAAATTTATTTTTATGTATCTAGGTGTTTTGCCTGTACATGTATATGCATATGCACATACATATGTGCCTAAAGCCCAAGGCCTGAAAAGGACAACAGATCCCTTGGAACTGGAGTTACAACAGTTACGAGTTACTATGTAGGTGCTGGGAACTGAACCCTGGTCCTCTGGAGGAGCAGCCAGTGCTAACTAACCACTGAACCATCTCTCCAGGTCCTCTGATATCTGCTTATTTTAAAAATAAGGGTGATAGGAAGCAAATAAAATAATACAAATCTGTTAGAGATAACAAGTGCTTGAGTATCTACTATTCTTTGAAATGTCTGGCTTAAATAATTTTTAAAGTGATGATGATGATAGTATGTGTGTTTATTACTTGTGTTCGTGCATGTATGTGCAATGCATGTGTGAGCACATTCCCTGGTATGCATGTGAAGTTAGAGGACAACTCTTTAGAGTCGGTTTTCCCTTCTTCCCTTTACATGGATTTCAGGATGAACTCAGGTGGTCTGGCCTGCAGAGCTACTCACCAATACGGTGTTGTCTGTCCTCTCTGCCTGGCTACTTGGAGGCTCTAAGACAAACTTTGACTCATCTCCTAAAATGACAGGTTTACATTCCTGTTCTACAGGCTTCATTTTATATGTAATCACACATTCTACTCTAAATTAGTTTTAAGTTCATTAATTTTCTTTGCCTCTTTGCTATAATTCTCTGAGCTATGAGAGAGAGAGAGAGAGAGAGAGAGAGAGAGAGAGA